CCATTTCTGGAAGCTGGGAAGTCCAGGATCAGGGTCCCAGCAAGGTCAATTTCTGATAAGGGACTTCTTTCTGATTTCCTTGCCTGAAAGCCCTCATGAAGGCTCCAGTCTTATGACCTAATTACCTCCCAAATGCTCCACCTCCTACTGCATTAGGGATTAGCATTTCAATATATGATTTGGGGGGGATGCAAACATTAAATCCACAACACTGAATTACAACACATTGAATCCCAAATTCACAGGATGTCTACTATTAATGTTTGGGTACTGAGTAGAAGGGAACAGAATCTTGACATTTTTAATTAGGATATATTGGTCCATTCCCATGGATTTGTTTGCCTTGACCCCATCAGTTCTGTGAGTGTTCTTTGCTAGTAGGCATTCTACCACTCTTGCCCAAGGAGATTAATTTTCTCTTTTTCTGAAGAACCTGATCTGGTTTCTCTGAGCTAGTTCCCTTCCAGGACACTCAGATCCTCCTCAGGAGGTGCACTTTCCATCCCTTTTCACTTCTAGAGCTATAACTTGACTCAAGTTCCCACAGGCACAGAGAGTGAGGTACACCCTGCTACCCACTGGGAGCTGTGCTAGAACAGAAAAACTGCAATCTGTTTTCTAATACTTATAGCCAACAACTGGGGTATTTGTTTGGAAATGGCCCTTAGGGGAAGAGTATAAAAGTGGAAGAAATATAAAGTTGATCAAGCCAAATTTCTTACTTTGGAATTTAAGAAAAGATTTTATCTATTTATCTGAGAGAGAGAGAGAGAGAGAGAGAGAGCTTGAGAGAGAGCACAAGTGTCAGGGGGCGAGGGAGAGGGCAAAGGGAGAGGGAGAAGCAGACTTCCCACTGAGCAAGGAGCCTTATGCGGGACTCAGATCCCAGGACCCTGGGATCATGACCTGAGCTGAAGGCAGACACCTAACCAACTGAGACACCCAGGCACCCCTTGATTTGGAATTATTAAAATGAGGTTGGCAATTGCTACTTTTTGCTTTTTGGGCTGCTCTACTAACTTGTTTGGTTGGTTGCATGACATAAGGACCAATGTTAGCCTACTCTAAATTAAGGAGAAATGTAAGAACTTCCTTGGTGGACTGTAGTGTGAGGTATCCAAAGGCTCTGGGATATTATGTTAGAGTGGATTTTTCATGTAAGATCTGCTCATCTACCTCTGGAGGGTCCAGATGACACATCTTTCACCAAGGCTGAGAAAAAATAATTTGTAATGAAAGGGCCAACATCTTTGAAGAGTGCTATGGTAGCTCAGGTCTGCTGGCCAGAAATTACTATGGAAACTTCTAACATTCGTAAATACAATGGTCATGATTGGAATCTGAAAAGGTAGAGCCAAGTGGCACCACTTATCAGCCAAAAACCAAGCGGGAATGGTTCTCATGATGACCATCAGAGTAGTCTGACTCTCAGAGAACTTTGGCATTGGTAGTTGATTGTGGAGTTCCTTGAAATGAAATAGGTGTGCAGCACACTAAATCCTTATTTTATCTTAGTGGAAACATTTTACATTTAGGAATAGAAAAATGAATTTAATCCCTGAAATGGAGAGACATGTCTTGTCAAAGGTATGTTTACAAGATAGATTATGACATGAATAGTTGGTGTTTTCTTGAGCTCGTCTGATATATTTATGTCTTTCGTATTGCTTTTAGTGTCTGACTCCTGATACTCAGGTCTTGATCTCAGGGTCTTGAGTTCAGGACCCGCATTGGGCTCCATGCTGGGTTTGGAGCCAATCTAATAATAATAAAATAAAATAAAATAAAATAAAATAAACAAATATAAGCCAGGTCAGACCCCCTGAAATTGTATACCAAGTGTGTATAAGAGTACTTTTGTGTGTGTGTGTATGTGTGTGTGTGTGTGTGTGTGTGTGTGTGTGTGTGAGGAGAGTCAATATATACAGTTAAATTCTCAAAGAGGTGAAAATTCTCTGTATGATAAGAAGCCGTCACAGAGCCTAGGTTCTTCCAAATGCAGAATAAGTCAGTTTGGGTTTTTCTTGAGTTGGGCTTATTATGTAAGGGAGGCCAGCCCATTCTCAACCCTGCCTTGAAGGGCATAGGAATTGTTTTAGGCTTAGTGATTTGAGCCTGTAGTAATAACTCAGTAATAAGTGAGATAAAGGGAGAGTATTCTAGATCCTAGAACATAATGATGCAAGATACAAGATTTCAGACTGTATCTGGTGCAGAGAAACACATTTCCATGATCACGGTCTCTCGAAAGGACCATCAATTTCAGCTGAAATTGGTCCAAAGTAAAGTCCCTGCCACCCGGTAGTTGGCTGATCACTCCCTGGTACCATATTAGGGACTCCATGGTGGCCTCTGCTCCTGGCAGATCTGGGACTCAGCAATGGCTGTAGTGAAATCAGCCTTGGTGAGCAGAGGCCCATGTTGCTGAGTATAAACTCCATCCCTGCCACTTGGCTACCTAGTTCTTGAGCCCACTGGGTTCTGACATGACTGCTGGGGAAAAGTCTGATGGTTATTTACAAAATGGGTCTTCTAGCCATCAGATTATTAAACTTCTGCTCTGCTGAGGTTACTCTTTACTGATTAGTCTCCTGAGACACACTTATCTATACATCCTATGCTCACCTGGACAGATGTATCCACGTACCTCTTCCTCATACCTCTTGGCCACAGCTCTTCAATTGTGTTCCTTAAAAGTTCCCGACCCTTCAGCCAGTCAACTGGGCATAATATACACATCAATATTGACACATCTCTGGCCATCTCTACTTTCAATCAAAATGGACAACCAGGGGACCAGCTCAACTTTCTGCCCTCTGGAGGATTTCCTTGAACAACTTTCCTATAGGGCTGACCTGGAGAGGTGCTGCAGTGCAGCTGTTGTCCCCTCTCATCCTGTGTGGTAGGTGGGATTCTAAGTATGTCCCTTCAAGATGCTAGTCTTCTGGTTATTCAGGCAAATGCTAATGTGAGTACCACTGTGGTGGGGTTTGCATATATAGAGAGGCAAAATGATAGAGCAGTCTGGGGGATAAAACATCCTGTTCAGACTGCATTGGATATACTGGAAGAAAAACACGGTATTGGGAAGTTTTCTTTTAATTTTTATGAAGAGGTTTACATTTAATCAAATAGTTACATTCTTATTAATTTACAAAGATTTAGGGGACAAAAAGGTGACATCACTGCATATATAAAAGTATATATTTTTTATTTTCACAAGTTCATTAATGCTGGAGAAATTCCAGTTATGACTCTCTTGTGAATTATTATTCCTTCCAGAAAAAATTATTGTACCATTTTCTTTAGAAATACAACCGAAGAAGGATTTAAATCTGAAACATCACTCAGCATCAACAATGATATTTGTTCGTGTTTAGCTATGCAACTTAATAGCAAGGAAATTTTACATATGGAATTTGAAAGACTCCCTCTGTACAAGCTATCCCCTCAGGGAACATCTACGCAACTCTGTTAGCAGGTGCTTAATGGGTCTTAATGAAAAATAGGGGATAGTTAGATAGATTTGTTACAATCCTGGTCATAGGTGGTTGTGCATAATTATATAGGCACCATATATTAGTTTTCTTCGAGGGGAAGAAGATTTTGTAAATAATACGCAGTCTAATTTCTTGGATTTGTAATTTGAAATACAGTATATAGAAAGATGCACTTATGAATAAGAACTTCTGAAAACCCACTGATGCAAAAAGGTAATGAGAATACTGGTAAATATTATCAAGGTTTCAGAACTCTGGAATTAACCAACGAGCTGCAAAAATCAGAACAATGTCTATTCCAGAAAAATGGCTAAATCATGGCACCTGGGTGGCTCAGGCAGTTAAGTGTCTGCCTTCAGATTAGGTCATGATCTCAGGGTCCTGGGATGGAGTCCCACATCAGGCTCCCTGCTCAGTGGGAAGACTGTTTCTCCCTCTCCTGCTCCTTCTGCTTATGCTCTCTCTCTCTCTGTCAAATAAATAAAATCTTTGGAAAAAAAAAAGAAAATGGCTAAATCACAATACTAACCACAAGCTTTGTGGTGTTTTAAAGGGCCCCCTTCCTATCCTCTTTTCTGCTCTGCAGTAACCTTGAAAATCAAGACTCATGGCTATGATTGCTCTGTGAAGCAGCAACCTATCAGCCACCAAAGGGGAAGAAATAAATTTACAGCCTCCCCAAAGCTCCATTTCCAGACAGTTGTCACTACTGGATGTGTCTGGCAACTCCCCCAAAAGAACCACTGTGGGCTTGTGCATAATTCAATACCCTCGCAGCTCACTCTGTGTGTGCAGCCCTGTTCTTGACCTTATGGTGCCAGGCAGCCCTCCTGCAGGGACTGTTGAAGAGAAGGGATGACAGTCAGTAGCCTTGTCTTGCTTTGAGTTTGTGAGCAGTATTTCTAATGTTTGTCCCCCAAGAATAATGTGCAAAGCAGATTTGTGTAGACACCTTTCTACCAAATACTTTTCATTTTCTTCATGAATATTTTATCACGTCTTTTTTGCATCAGTTAAGACGATCATATGATCTGCCTCCTTTTCTATTCCTATAGGGCTCCAGCTATTGACTTATTCACTCAGCTCCAAATTCACAATTCTAGCCTGCCCAGTTGAAAAAATGTTCTGGTTCCTTTAAATGTTTTTTTTTTGTTTGTTTGTTTGTTTTCCTGTGGCATGTGTGACCCACGTCTGCCTGTAGAGGGAGCCCGATACATGGCCGGGGAACACTTGCTTCCTGGTTCTGGCACAGCTCCCTCCATGGGGCACAGGAGGCTTCTCCAGCAGCAGGTTTCCCGTGGCACACAGCTTCTCGGGGACCAGGCATCTGCATGGCAGCGTGGCCTGCAACACCCCACGTCCTGCAGCTGCGCTTAGACCTCCCTGAGGCAGTGATAATAGATGAGTCTTCTGGCCAGACAGCTCTCTGTGCACACCACTCCCATACTCCCTAGGGGGCGTATATCCAACAACTCGGAGGGCAGGTTCTAGAAAGTTCCACGTGAGAGGCACCACAATTTCACCGCCATTGTGTGAGTTCTTTCAGCCTCCTGGAACAAGGTCAGGATATTAAGGCTGGAAGTGTGGATTTTTTTCCCCGGGGGCTCAATTTGTGACCTGGAAGTGCTTCTTCTTGGCTGTGGTGTCTTCCTGGAGGATCTACCTTGGTCTGTGGGGACACTTGGGTGGGTTCTGATCTCAGCACAAGGGACGCATTTTCGGGGCAGTTTATTTCAGCCATGTTGCAGAGAAATCTGTGCTTGGTGGTATCTTGAGTTCTGTGAGGGACTTTCCTTATGTAAATCTCCCATTGCTGTTGAAGGGATGCGTCTTCAGGTGCTGAGTCCTAACACGGAGGGTGGGGGATTCGGGGGCGACGGGGTTTCCTGAAAACCGGGTCGGGTGTTGGTGGGGTGGGGAATGGTTCCTGGCTCTCCGTTCAAGCTCCCCGCCAGGGACCAAAAGAACACCACAGAAGCCCAGCCCCACCATGGCTGAGACAGAGCACCCCGGGAAAAATGCCCCATGTCTGTCTGTCTGTCTCTCTCTCTTTTTAAGATTTTGTTAATTTATTTGAGAGGGACAGCTGGAGAAACCAGCTCCCCAGTGAGCAGGGAGCCCAATGCTGGGATCTGTCCCAGGACCTTGGGGTCACAATCAGAGATGAAGGCAGCGGCTTAACCAATTGAACCACCCAGGCCACCCACATGTCACTCTCTCAACAGTGTCTTTTTGATGAACAGAATGTCTCAGTGTAATTAAGTCTAATCAATCCATTCCTCATGGCTCATGGTCAGTGCTTTTATTTTTTCAAAATCTTTGCCTACTCCAAAGCCACGATGATAATATCCTACATGTCCTTCTAGCTCTCCTATTCATGGGAGATCAGTGTTATATGGACAGGAAGGGGATCAGGGCAGAGGTGCCGTTCCCCACAGGGAGCAGGTGGACTTACTGAATGGACCACAGAGGCTTGAAGGCCCCAGTGTCAGCAATCTAGCACCTGCTGTTTTCCGAGTTATGTCTAGACTCCCTGTCCTGTCTCACTGGTGTTTCCACCCACCCTTGCTCCAACCCCACAGCGTTGTCATGGCTCCTACGTCTGCTGTCTGGCTGTGTGTGTCTCCCAACCTGGTGCTTTTGCCTAAATAGCGTCTCAGCTATTCTAGGCCTTTTGATATCCATATACTCCTTAGTATTAGGTCATGAATGTCCCCCAAAACTAAGAGGATGGTTTTTAAGAAAAATTTAAATAAAAAATTATTTACATTTTAAGTATGATGCAATAACTATTCTGGACAGAAATGACAATAGTGAGTTAATAATGAGTGCAATCCATGCAAACTTTCTGTCTCCCTATTACTGAGGGCTTTAGCATCTCTCGGTGAGGTTTTCTGTCTTACATGTAATGCTCCAACACACCTTCCCTTAGGTTTACTCCCTGGGTTTTGATGTTCTTAACACTCCTTTCAATGGTATTTTAAATTCCTTTTTCTAACTATTTTCATTATTCCATAGAAATAGATGTGGTATTTGGTTCTTGCTCCTACATCCAGTAACTTGGCTATTTTTCCCTTATTAACTCTAGTTCTTTATATCCTTTTGGATATTCTATGTACCAAACAATGCGATCTGTGAGTGACATTTTTGCTTCATCCTTTCCAAAATTTAACTTAATATATTTCCTGGCACTGCTGCACTTTTTATGACTTCCATATATTCTTGACTATCCTTCTTTTGGTTGCCAATATAGGTAGAAAGTGTTTGGTTTATCACCATTAAGTATAATATTTGCTATAGGATTTTTTGGGGTGGATACATTCTATTAGGTTAAGGAAACTGATTTCTAGTCTAAACTGATGACAGCTTTTTAAAAAGATTTTATTTTTTGATTTTTTTGAGAGAGAGAAAGAGAGAGAGAGAGAGAGAGAACAGGAGTGGGGGTGGGGAGGGACAGAGAGGGAGAAGCAGACTCCTCGCTGAGCAGGGAGCCTGACCCAGGGCTCCATCCCAGGACCCTGGGATCCCGACCTAAGCCAAAGGCACCCAGGTGCCCCTAATCTGCTAATAATTTTTAATCATGAGTTGCTCTTGAACTTGAACCCATCTATAAAATTAGTAATGGAATTTTTCCTTGTTTTTTTTTTCTGAATATGCTTTACATGGACTGATTTTCAAATTTCAAGCCAATGTTGTCTTCATGGAATGCACAACATCATGACATGAAGTCTCTCTTTTTTGTTTATTTGTGTTTGCGTGTGCGTGTGTGTGTGTGTGTGTGTGTGTTAGCTTATCATCTGTTTAGAATTTTCTTTTCTATATTTAGGAAAGACATCTTGGCCTGTAATTTTCCTTTCTTCTCCTGTCCTTGTTAGATGTTGGTGTCAGGCTTATATTGGCATTGTAAAATGATTTGGGAACTAGTCCTAGAATTTGTGTCACACTGATGTAATTTCCCTCTAAATGTTTGGAGAACTCATCAGGGAAACCTTCTGGAGAGGATGTTTTTAATTTTTCGTTCACAGTTTTACCAGATTCAGGACTTATCATATTTTCTCTTTCTTCTCTAGTAAAATTTTGGTAAGTTTTATTTTTCTATCAGTGTCTCTATTTGATCTCAGCTAATACAATGGAATGTGCCAAGCAGGAGTCCTGGGAAAGCCAAGGAGGGGTGGTCCCTGGGTTGGGTTGGAGTCAGGTTGAGGACAGATCAGCCTCCTGGGCTGTTCAGCCCTCAACACCGCCAACTTTAGTCCAGGCCCTGATTGTCAACATTTTCGGTTCAAATATGATTAAAATTTTGTATTTAAAGTTAAATGCAATGAACATTTTGCAGTTAGAACGTTAAAGTAGTTTTCATGGAACGGTAGTTCTCAGAATGGATTCACACTCACCCCCTTCACAGGAGATCCACTGATGAACAAGCGTATCAATTACAGGGTGAGGGAAGTAGTACTGAATAGACCGAAATTCTTCTTCACGAGTCATTCCTGTTTCCTAGGTTCCTTTGGATCACGGTTGACCATAGCACGTGAGGGCTCATGTCAGGGATTTCAGTGACCTTCATTTCTTGTTCTGGCTCTCAATGCTGACCAGCCCCTCCTCCTCTCGACACTTGCATAAGATGGTCTGTTCCAAGTAAAGGGATGTTCATGGACAGATACTGAAGGGTGCCTGCGAGTGACCCGGGAGAAGCACCTGTGTGGCCAAACCCTTCCACCGATCCTGGGGATCTTTGGGCTTATGGGTCCCTGCTGACCCCACATCTCTTCTGTAATTTGTCCCTGAGTTTTTGCCTCAATTATACCTCTGTGAAATACTAAATAAGTCAGTACAAGGAAAGCATTGAGGGAGAGAACCTTGTCGGTTTGAAATGCCCTGTGAAAATCATTTCCCCATTTTCCACTCCTACTTAATGGGAACTGTCTCTGGTTCAGAAAAGGCATTTATATCACCAGGTGATCCTAATATGGTGGAACGATTGTGGGATTTATCCTTGGGGGAGAAGATCTTTCAGCTAGTCTGTCATACAGATATGTCCCATTTGATCTATGAGCAACATTGAAAACTGCCCTTCACATGACTCCTAGACTGACATTTTGAACTCTTTGCCATTGGAAGTGAGTGGATAAATGATTTCCACCTCCTCCTCCCCCACCGTCTACAAGGGGCATACTATGAAGATTCAGTAGGTACTGATAATGTTGCATTTAAATCAAGTTGGGAAAAGAAAGGCATTTATGTCCCCTGAAAGAGTTGACATAGAATGATTTATTCTTCCTCATAGAGGTAATCATGTGTTTATTCAATTCTGGATGAGGGGTTCACATTCTACAAGCAATCTTTTTTAAAGATTTTAAATTTTTTAAAGATTTTAAATGTTTTAAATTTAAATTAAATTAATTAACATATAATGTATTATTAGTTTCAGAGGTAGAAGTCAGTGGTTCATCAGTCTTATATAACACCAGTGCTCATTGCATCATGAGCCCTCCTTAAAATCCAGCACCCAGTTACCCCATCTCCTCATCCCCCTCCCCTCCAGCAACCCTCAGTTTGTTTCCTATGATTAAGAGCCTTTTATAATTTGTCTCCCTCTCTGATTTTGTCTTGTTTTATTTTTCCTCTGTTCCCCTATGATCTTCTGTTTTGTTACTTAAATTCCATATATGAGTGAGAACATATGATAATTTTCCTTCTCTGATTTACTTATTTTGCTTAGAATAATACCTGCTAGTTCTATCCACAGTGTTGCAAGTGGCAAGATTTCGGTTTTTTTCTGAAGCCCGAATATTATGCCATTGTGTAAACATTCACCACATTTACTTTATCCATTCATTTGTTGAACTGGGCTTTTTCCATAGTTTGACTGTTGTGGACATTGCTGCTATAAACATTGGAGTACAGATGCCCCTTCGGATCACTATATTTGTATCTTTGGTATAAATACCCGGTGTAAATACCCAGTAAATACCCAGCTATAAACATTGGAGTATAGATGTCCCTTTGGTTCGCTACATTTCTATCTTTGGTGCAATGGCAGGGTCAGAGGGTAGCTCTATTTTCAACTTTTTGAAGAAACTCCATTCTGTTTTCCAGAGTGGCTACACCAGCTTCCATTCCCACCAACATTGTAAGGAAGTTCCCATTTCTCTGCATCCTTGACAACATCTGTCATTTCCTGACTTGTTAATTTTAGCCATTCTGACTGGTGTGAGGTGGTATCTCACTGTGGTTTTGATTTATATTTCCCTGATGCCCAGTGATGTTCAGAATTTTTCCATGTGTCTGTTGCCCATTTGGATGTCTTCTTTGGAGAAATGTCTGTTTATGTCTTCTGCCGGCTTCTTAATTGGATTATTTGTTCTTTGGGTGTTGAGTTTGATAAGTTCTTTGTGAACTATAGATACTGGCCCTTTGTCTGATAAGACATTTGCAAATATCTTCTCCCATTCTGTCAGTTGTCTTTTGGTTTTGTCCACCGTTTCCTTTACTGTGCAAAAGCTTTTTATCTTGATGAAGTCCCAACAGTTCATTTTTGTCTTTGTTCCCTTCCCTTT